CTGTGTTTGGGAACTGGCATCCCCTCTGGGTCCAGATCAATAAACAGTAAACAGTACAGATCAGCTCACCTGTATGCTTCACCACCTTCACTTAATAACATCAGTTCTAACTGTGAGACAGAGACTTAACTGTGCTAATTGGCTGGCTTGCTCTCTAGATTTCTGTACTGAGTAACAGTGCAAAACTGCTCCATTTGACTGATTGCTACCATTGGTTGTAAGGCACAATGGGCCACCTACATGTTTGGAAGCATTTGGTTGCCCTACTGTGCAGAACGGATGCTGGACTAGATTGATGGACCTTTGGACTACTCCAACAGCATTTTAACCCTGAAATTAGCAATATGCTCCTGGAACTACATGCCTTTCTTGATTCGAATCTTACAGACTCATTTTGATGTTATTTGTAAGAAAACTATGATGAAGTAAACTTGGTTGACAGGGGAAAGAGGAGGGAGAGAGAAAGCAAAAAACTTGCATTATTAAAATGTTGCAGAAGTAGTCAAAAAGAGTTTTACTAAGCCTTTGGTATAACCTTTTGAATGTCATATTACAACGAAAGTTTTAGCCCACACATTTTAATATATGTTAGAGGGTTCAGTTCCTTTAATGGGAAGACACTTGCTTTGTAAATTGCATGCACAAATAAACTTTGTTCCATCTTCTGTCAGAACCAGGATGGAAACGCCAGGCTTATATGATAATAGTCCCTACAAAGTGAGACAAAATTCCAGAAGTTGTATTGTCAGACTGCTGTTTGCTGCTGCCTTTCATCTCTTCTGCTGGCCTTTCTAGCTACTCCTCAGCCTTTGGTGTCGTCATGGCCAACTTGGATCGTGAGGCCGAGGAGTGGCTAGAAAGGCCAGCAGAGGAGATGGAGGGCAGCAGCTCCCAGCAGTCTGCTATGCCTATCTCAGATATTACCTAAGATGAGCCCTCAGCTGACACAAACACTCTACAGACATCTGTACATGTCCTAGATCCGTGGTTCTCAACCTGTGGGTCCCCAGGTGTTTTGGCCTACTACTCCCAGAAATCTCAGCCAGTTTACCAGATGTTAGGATTTCTGGGAGTGGAAAGGTCTCCATAGGTCTTAGAGATTATCTGAAAAACACTTGTTAATCAATCAGAAGCTGAGATTATGAAATATACCATAAAGCTTTCAGTGCTGTGACTATTTCACTGTGGACAATGTTATTATCTTGGTTGAGTCCAATTCCCATTTTGCCCTTGACCTACCATAGGACCTGACTGTGCTGCTTGCTGGTTTATTACCAAAGGATTTCTGACTTTGACTTCTGGAACTTTATATTTTGGCATTGGTGCCTTGGTTTGTTTGTACTTTAGGTTCCTGATTTTGGAACAGATATCTGGATATTCTTCTGTTTTCCAAGGGCTCTTGTATCTGCCATTTCTGACATCGGACTGTTAGCATTGGCTAGCTTCCCTACGTCAGTGTATTTGTTTGGGTTTGGGTCCTAATCAGAGGCCATGTTTACAACATATATGGGCAAGCAATAGGCCATGTGTGTATGAAGAATGTGACTCCTGCGAGGTGCAGTTGAAACTGAGAATCATTCTGCCTAATGTGCAACATTATCCAATTTACCTTGAGGATTGATTGGACTCAAAGCCATTGATACAGAGGTTTCTCCAATATGGAGTTATAATAAAATTTAAGTTGTCATGTAATTCCCAGGAGTTTGTTTACTGCCCCACCACAGGCATCCTCTCTTTCATTCCTCCAATCCAGTGCTTCTACTCTATCTACTAGGCTGCACCCTTCATCCAGGTCTAAGAGAGCTTCATTCTCAGACTCTTATTATCACTGCTCAATTTTTCTAGAACTGATTTCAATCATTTTTTTTTCATTCTCCTATCTGGATATAGAAAGGATAAAGTAGAGGAAGATGCCAACATAGCATCTATTTCCTCCTTCTGTCAGTTTCTTCCTAGTCAAATTCATGCAAAGGAATCAGGGCTGGGGGTGGGTGAGAATTTGGGGGAGGGGGGTTTGGGTCCAGATGCCACAAACGATGACTAAACTCTGCACAGAACCAATAGGGTAAAAATAGTCAGGTGCTGGAGCTGTACCAGATGGTGCCAACTGGAAATATGGTGGGGAAGCAGGAGGAGGCGTCCTGCCATCCTCACCTTATGCTGGGCAAATATGGGGAAAAGGACGTGACAGAGGATAACTACATCCCCCAACTCTGCCCTATACCCATGATCCTCAGTGCATCCTCCACAGATGACTTGCTTTTCTCCCCAACATGCTGTGATGATGACAGAGCTTCTTCTAGGTCTGTTTCTAATCCTTACACCAATCTCAGGAAACACATCACCTCCATGCCTGTCTTTTCAATAGCACTCATCCTGCAGTTGACTTTTGTTGTTATATGCCTTCAAGTCATTTTTGATTTTTGTCACCCTAAGGCTTTCAAGGGGTTTTCTGGGACTGAGGGTATGTGGTTCACCCAAGGACACCCAGTGGCTTTCCTTGGCTGAGCAGTGAATCAAACCTTGGCCTCCAGAGTTGTAATCCAATGCTCAAAGTGCTATATCATATGGGGTCTCTTAGCCATGTGGTTTTAGTAGACTGAGTAGTCCTGAATTAACCTTATCCCCCTCTTTCAATTTATTATCTTTTTGTCTCTTAGCACCACTGCCCGTATATATACTGTATATAAAGAGAGAAGAGAAGGCTGAGAGGAGACATGATGGCTATGTGTAAATATGTGAGGACAGCATAGGGAGCAAGATTGTTTTCTGCTGCCTTGGAGACTAGGATGTGGAACAATGGCTTCAATCTACAGGAAAGGAGGTTCTACCTGAACATGAGGAAGAACTTCCTGGCTGTGAGAGCTGTTCAGCAGTGGAACTCTCTGCCTTGAAGTGTTGTGGAGGCTCCTTCCTTGTAGGCTTTTAAACAGAGGCTGGAAGGCCATCTGTTGGTTGTGCTTTGAATGCAATTTTCCTGCTTCTTGGCAGGGGGTTGGACTGAATGGCCCACAAAGTCTCTTCTAACTCTATGATTCAATGATTCTATATGCATATTATTTATTTAGGCTAACAGGTTTGTGTGCGCGCGTGTATCTTTCTATCTACCTATCTATCTATGTATATTCGAAAAGTGGAAGCACTTATTGTAGTGGTCAGAGTGTTAAAGCCATGATTTGGGAACTGGAAGAAAGATGGAATGTCATTACTGCTAATGCCAATGCTGCTAATGCTACCAACAACAACATTGCCTTTTACACCTATCTACTCCTCCTTCTTTCTTTCCCTCTACTAATTGCATGTCTTCTGAATGCCTTGTCATTCCTTTGATTTGTGTAAAAAGAATTGTAGTTCCATAAATTGTGAGATTCACTGAGTACAGACAGTGTATACACAGCATGTTCTGAACATATGCAGATAAACACTTTATTGATCTGGAAAGTATGAAACAATTTGTAAGCAGCAGTTCTAACATCTTTCAAATCTTTTCCTTATCTGTTTTCACAATGTACTGTGTGAGTGGCCACTAATAGCCATGATTAGTCATTGGGAGCTGACAGTCTCTTTTGCATGCCCATCACCCACAGAAGTGGTGAGTTTGTTCTTCAGCAGTGACCAACCAATCACCGAACTTTTGTGTTACTTGATCTCAGCTGAGATACAATGCTGTCAGTGTTTTTGCTTTCAAACTGATTTTTAAAAGAACTGCTAAGGGTCCCACCATTTTATTTTGACAACAATACAGTATGATTCCCTTATCATACGGGGTTTCAGATTTCATTTATCCACACTTCAAAAAATATTCCCCCACCCCAACCACAACGTGGTTGTGGGCTTCTCTGGGTCCTCCAATGTAGTTCTATGGTATACTTCCCTTCAAGTATAGTCAAAATTTAGGGTTCACATGGTTTCAGGTATCCACAAAGTGTATGTGTCTTGGAAAATATACTATGCGGATATGTATGTGGTGGGGGGTAGACTATATTGTGAAGTAGACAGCTTGGGTCAAGAGTCACCCAGTGAGTTTAATGGGTGAAAAGGGGTTTAATCGTGTTCTCTCTGACCTTAGTTCAACATAACCTCACTACTCCAAGAGAGCCATCCAGATATTGTTAGAGGCAACTTCTATTAGCTCTATTCAGAATACCCAGCAGCAATGGGCAGTGAATTCTAATCTAGCATCAGAGAATGACAGATTCACCAGCCCTTCACCATACTATACCAACATATTAAATGAACTGATGATGATGATGATGATGATGATGATCCTTGATGACAATAGGTATAATCCAGCAAAGGATAGTTGTGATTAAGCACAATTATCATGTGTGCTTATGCAGTTAAAGCAAGCATGAAAAGACATTTTAAAGAGAAATGAACCTACTCAAATTTTGAAACCACCCATAACAGAGTAGTGGTCCCCAGACTACCATCTTACTACTGCTTGGTTAATGGCTTTGAGCCCAATCGATCCTCAAGGCAAATTGGATAATGTTGCAATCTCAGTAATAAGGCCCTTCCCTGCAACTCCTATTAGCAGATAGGAAAAACAAACTTCCATCCTGGAGTCAAGAGCATCTTCAGGAGGTCTTTAAATTTACCACAGGCAATAGGAGGTTCTGATTCTGAGTCCCCTATGGTTGCTATTTAAACTACTAAAAGGTTCATTAATTTAGATCTTGAATTAACAAGAATGAATCCAGTGAAATACTGGAGCCATCATTAACAAAGCCATTGATACAGAGGTTTCTCCAATATGGACTTATTATAAAATTTGAATTGTCATTTAATTCCCAGGAGTTTGTTTACTGCCCCACCACAGGCATCCTCTGAGTCCACACTTCCATATATCCCAGTTCAAAGCAGATAATGTGGGATTTTATTAAGCTGTGTGGAAGAGGCCTAACTTTCCTGAGTTCTGCTGGATAGTTGTACAGTAATTCATTTCTTATTCAGATCCAAGGCCATCTTTGAGGCACTTCTTCCTTTTTCTCTTGCAGACAGTAATTTTGTCCTGGGCAATGCCCAAGTACGGGGAGCCTTTCCTGTGGTTTACTGTTCCGATGGTTTCTGTGAACTGACCGGCTTCTCCCGGGCGGAGGTCATGCAGCGCTGCTGTGCTTGCAGCTTCCTCTATGGGCCTGACACCAGCGAACTGGTGCGCACACAGATCCGCAAAGCCCTCGATGAGCACAAGGAGTTCAAAGCCGAGCTCATTCTCTACAGGAAAAGTGGTGAGTTTTCTTTCCCACCAAATGGATGATCCAGGCAAGATTCCATTATTCTCTGGGAAGATGAACCGGGGGTGGGGGTGGGGGGGAACAGAGCTTAGGAAGGTATCCCTATTATTTTGTCTGACACATTCAGAACACCCAACCAGGAAGTGTTTCAGGAAGCGTTTTCTTGTAGTTCAAGAAAAGGAATTTAGCCAGGTTCTGGATGAGTTAGAAACCCTGAGTCCCAATACACTTTCTCAAAATGGTGGGGTTACTGGGTCAAAGCCTGGCTGGACAAAGTGGTAGAAATAAAAAATCATGCCAGACAGACCTAAATCTCAACCTAAGCATGTAGGCCAGGGCTCCGTAAACTAAGGCCCAAATGCCAGATATGACCCCCAAGGTCCTTTGCCCGGTCCTTGCTCAGAGTCAACCTAAGTCTGAAACGACTTGAAAGCACACAACAACAACAACAACAACAACAACAACCCTATCGTATCAGATAAAAGCAGGCCCACACTTCCCATTGAAATACTAAGACGTTTATATTTGTTAAAAAAATCATTTTAATTATTGTATTGTTTTAAAGTGTTTTTTTTGCACTACAAATAAGTTATGTGCAGTGTGCATAGGAATTCATGTTTTTTTTTCAAATTATAATCCGGCCCTCCAACAGTTTGAGGGCCTCTGACATGGCCCTCTGTTTAAAAAGTTTGAGGACCCCTGATGTAGGCAACAGGGCACCTTTCACAGCTATGTAGCAGAAGACCTGTCTCTTCAGCTGATATTTCCAGGTAAAATAAGGGCCAGGGCAGCTTACCTTTAATTGTTCTGTGTCGAGCAGCACACACTATAATTCCTTCTTCCTCACAACCATTAAAGGTACAGGGGTCCTATTTGTTTTTCACCTAACAACCCTGCTTCATTTTCCCTGTCCCTGTTCTACACATGTAGAAAATCCAAGATCACTATCTGCTAATCATTCCATCTGGGGTGCCAAGGGAGGTTGTTTAAAGAATGTAGGAAAGATGTCTTATATCAGGTTGGATTTTGACCCAACTAGTGTGGAACTGGTAAATCACTAAACTAAGGAATTATTTCTCCCAATCCCTTTTCTGGTTGAATGTGCCAGAGATTGAACTTGCGTCTCTCTGCATGCAAAGCAGGTGCCACTCCACATAAGCCAGGGCTCCTTCCCAGCCTAAGGTTTTTGTTTTTGTTTTTTGTTTTGTTTTTGCTGGCCTAGGCTTGGAGTGTAGGGATGCAAAGCTGGCACTCTTGAGGTTTAACTATTTGCCAGAAATAGCTGTGTAGCAACTTATGGAATGGGTGTGTGGGCACAGCCGAACCCGGAAGATGCTCTCCCATTCAAAGTATGGGATCCATGCAGGTTTCAATATTTTTCTCCCAAGGGCAATGTATTTCACATGCACCCCTTAATGAAGGATTATTCTTGTGGCTCTTTTCTCTCTCACCTTCCTTTGTCTGGAGGTGTGAGCAGAAGAGAGAACCAGGCCCCCTCTACCACCCCAGACACACACTGGATCTCATAATTCATTTCACACATTTCCTTGTTTTTTCAGGTGCCCCTTTCTGGTGCCTGCTGGATGTAGTGCCTATCAAAAATGAAAAAGGAGATGTGGCCCTTTTTCTGGTCTCCCATAAGGATATCACTGAGACCAAGAGCAGAGCGTTGGCAGAAAATTGGAAAGAAGGAGGTGAGGTCAGGGGAAGGCTCGTGAAGGGTTGAATTGTTTTGCGGACTTAGTGGGCCCAAGAGGCATCAGAGAAATCAAAAAACTACTGTATATACTCATGCATAAGTCCGCCTCATGTGTAAATGAAGGGCAGGTTTTGGGGACAGAATTATGGGTTTTGATAAGACTTATGCGTAAGTGGAGGGTCATTCCATAGAGAGGGGAAAATGCTGATGCCACCCCAGAGGGCCAACTTCGCGTGGCCACTGCTACCACTTTCCAATCAAGATATTTAAAAGGTCAGAAGTGGTGCCACGGCAGAGAGAATAGAGAAGGTTGGTGCTTCCTTTAAATTCACTCGGGATGGACTAAGCTCTTGCCCTTCACCACTCTTCTCAGAGAAGGAGATGATTCCTTTTTTGAAGGCTGCTCTTCTGACTGAAATTTATAACATTGTGTGACACAATTTTTGTTTGAAACTGCATTGCATGTCAGTGTAGACCAGTGATTCCCAACCTTTGGTCCTCCAAGTGTTTTAAACTTCAGCTCCCACAATTCCTAACAGCTGGTAAGCTGGGTGGGATTTCTGGGAATTGGTCCAAAACAACAGGAGGACCAAAGGTTGGGAACCACTAGTAGACTCATCTAATGCAGTTTAACTGCATTGAGATAGTAATGGGACAATATTTTTACTGCTGACTGGATAAAATATATTGCCATTTTTAATCCACATATCTCAAAGTGAGAAGCATGGCTTCCTTTAATACATGCAAAAGGATGTGTAATGAAGACAGGTAAAGCAGAAGAAAGAGAGAGATATAATGTTTCAAATGGTTACACTATGTAACAACATTTGAAATAAAACAAACCTCTGTTCCTGGTTTGAAATGATTATTTCCTGTTTAATTGTGTGGTACTTACTTTGAAAGTACCATAGTTATTATACTTTAGAAACTTAATTTTTGTGGCTGCCACAAACTGTTGAATTGGTTGAGACTCTACGAGAGGGGTCCTCAAACTAAGGCCCAAGGGCCGGATACGGCCCTCCAAAGTCCTTTACCCGGCCCTCACTCAGGGTCAAGCTAAGTCTGAAATGACTTGAAAGCACACAACAACAACAACAATCCTATCTCCTCAGCCAAAACTGGGTCCACACTTCCCATTGAAATACTAATAAGTTTATATTTGTTAAAATTGTTGTTTATTTTAATTATTGTATTGTTTTAAAGTATTTTTTGCACTACAAATAAGATATGTGCATTGTGCATAGGAATTTATTCATGCTTTTTTCAAATTATAATACGACCCTCCAACAGTTTGAGGGACTGTGATCTGGCCCTCTGTTTAAAAAGTTTGAGGACCCCTGCTCTAAGAGATAGCCATTGAAAAACTATAGCAAAATGTGCTGCAGGATGTCCCGCAAAAACAAAGTTTGTGCAGTTTAATCAACTTTTAACAAAAGATTGCCCCAGGCACTGCTAGGCCATCAAATGCTAATCAAGGTGGTCAGTTGAAACATTCACACCTAGCTCCAGCAGACCAGAGTCCTTTGTCCCACCCTGATCATTCCACATATATATAAACCCTTTTTCCTAGTTCCAACAGACCTCACTACCCCTGAGGATGCTTGCCATAGATGCAGGAGAAACGTCAGGAGAGAATGCCTCTAGTCTAGAACATGGCCATATAGCCTGAAAAAACCTACAACAACCCAACTTTTTCTATGTTTTTATGATAGAACTAATGAGGAAATGAGATTTATAACCCAGGAACAAACATCGTGTTACATAGTGTTATGAATTTCAGCCAGGAAGATACCACAGTAATGAACCTCACAGCTTATTTTTCCTTGGCAAGACTCTTCTGCTTTGAACAGCTGCATAGGAGGCAGGTGAAGTTTGCTCCATCACTGCCACCTTTCCAGGTGTGGGGAAAATGACACATTTTGAATTTCTTCAAGTCACAGAATGATGATAGGCATAGGGTTCTTGCCAGAAACAGAAGTGGCAAGCATCATGTGAAGCATATCATAGCATCACTTGTCAAACTCTGTGTGAATTTTCTTGGAAAAGATGGACATGCACTAAGGAGCTGTCACGGATTTCTTAAATCTCTTTTGAAAATATGTAAATGATCTGAACATTTTCAGTGGCCCCATATCCCCTTCTCACTTGAACTTCTAGTATACAGTTTACTTTTAATCAGAACTAGGAAGTGTGGAGATTTTCTTACTACTAATCCCAGAATCCCACAGCATGTGACCTTTGATGCCTCCGCCAAGCCAACTTATCGACCCAGAGAAGCCACGCTATACATTCCAAATACATTAAAAACCATTGTATTTTTTTTACATATTTTTGTTGTTTTTGTGCTGCAAAGAAGAAAAAGAAATGATGCAGAGACCTGGATGAACTGAAGCCCAACTTAGGGTTTGCTTTGCCTGCACTTTCAAGTATTTCTTCTCAAGACCACATGAGACATGATGTTAATGGTGTGATTTGTGGTGCATATTTTATAATAAGAACAATAATAATGTAATAACTTTATTCTTATACCCAGCCACCATCTCCCTGAAGGGACTCGGGGCGGCATACATAAGGGACAGAAAGGCCTACAGACAAAAAAGCAAAACAATCCATTAAAATAAAAACACCACTAAAATAAGAGCATCATAAAATGCAATAATATTTTATGGGACTGCAGCAGCACTTGAACTGGGAGAGGAATTTGTTTGGTTCACATTTTAATAGTAAAGGTAAAGGTTTTCCCTGACATGAAGTCCAGTCGTGTCCAATTCTGAGGGTTGGTGCTTGTCTCCATTTCTAAGCCAAAGAGCCAGCGTTGTCCATAGACACCTCCAAGGTTATGTGCCGGTATGACAGCATGGAGCACCATGACTTTTTAATATGTACTTACTTATTTTCTACTTTTTGATCCAAAATATGCAATGAAACATAGCTAAACATAAATATCTACACTCACCTGATTTTTCAATACAGTTCTCCAATCCAAAAATAAAAAAACATAGGGAGGCATGCTATGATGAAGCTGAAAGGACTTCAGTCACGGGACCCTTTTGTGTTGTTCAGATATGGGACACAGAATGCTGCATCATACTGTATCAGACCCTTGTTCCACTTGGACCAGTAATTACAACAGTCTCCAGGGTTTGGAGATCTTTCCCTGCCCTACTTGGATTGAACTTGTAATCCTCTGAGTGCCAGGCATGGGCTCTATTATTAAACTATACTCAAAACCCTACTTTGGCACCTAGACCCCATTAACTTTGGCAGTGCATATTTGCTTTACCTTCTTGGACACAACACTATGGGTGGAGGCATAGTCTTCTTTCTCCTGCATGTGGTGATGTGTATGTAAAAGGCTGTGTTTATATTGTATTCCCTTGAGTAACAATGCCACACTCAGGATGGAAAAGCAGCCAATTAGTTCTGCTAGCTGGAAGAGCGGCTCAGCTAGATGAAAAACACTGACAACCCTTTGTGGTTTACATGATGAATAGTGTTCCCTGTACACTGCCATTGCTAATGGGCAAAGAGCGGGTTTTGGTGCCAGCAAGGAAGGAAGACATAACAGGAGGACACGGAGCAAGGCATGCTAATGCACAGTGTTTGGCACTGGAAAGAAACTTTGCATGATTTCAAAAATAGTAATAAATAAATATCTGGATCAAGCTGAGCAAGAGCTCTCTCCCATAGAGGTGTTTCAATGACTATAAGACTACCAGAGTATCTAGATCAGTGTTTCTCAACCTGGGGGTTGGGACCCCTGGGGGGGGGTCACGAGGGGGTGTCAGAGGGGTCCCCGAAGACCATCATAATATACAATATTTTCTGTTGGTCATGGGGGTTCTGTGTGGGAAGTTTGGCCTAAGTCTATCATTGGTGGGGTTCAGAATGCTCTTTGATTGTAGGTGAACAATAAATCCCAGCAACTACAACTCCCAAATGTCAAGGTCTATTTTCCCCAAATTCCACCAGAGTCCACATTTGGACATATTGAGTGTTCATGCCAAGTTTGGTCCAGATTGATCATTGTTTGAGTCCACAGTGCTCTCTGGATTTAGGTGAACTACAACTCCCAAACTCAAGGCCAATGTCCACCAAGCCGTTCTAGCATTTTCTGTTGGTCATGGGATTTCTGTGTGGCCAGGTCTGATTCAATTCCATCGTTGGTGGAGTTCAGAAAGCTCTTTGATTGTAGGTGAACTATAAATCCCAGCAACTACAGCTCCCAAATGACATCAATCTCCTCCAACCCCACCAGTATTCAAATTTGGGCGTATCGGGTATTTGTGCCAAATTTGGTCCAGTGAATGAAAATGCATCCTGCATATCAGATATTTACATTATGATTCATAAGAGTAGCAAATTACAGTTATGAAGTAGCAACAAAAATAATGTTATGGTTGGGGGTCATGACAACCTGAAGAACTGTATTATGGGGTTGTGACATTAGGTAGGTTGAGAACCACTGATCTAGATTATCTTTGCAAAACATAGAAAGAAACCTCCAATAATTACTCTTAAATAGTCTGTGATTCTCATTCATTGATAAATGATCACAAAGTGAAGAAAGATCATTTCAAATGCTTCAGTTGTGGAAATGAAATTCAAACTATTGTCACTGAAATTTAAGCATTACGTACAGGAGATTCACCCGAGGCAAAAATCTAGGTAAAGACTTATATTTAACCTAAAAATGCAGGGTTCCAAGTTTCTTGGTACTATCCATCCCCAAATGTCATTGTTATCATTTCCATAAGAATGCAGGTAAACATCCCTTGAGCTAACTTGCCAAATTGCACCCAACTTCTCCTTGTGTTAGGTGGACGGCGACGCTACAGTCGCGGTGGAGCCAAAGGCTTCAATGCCAACCGTCGTCGAAGCCGGGCTGTGCTGTATCATCTGTCAGGGCACCTCCAGAAGCAGGGCAAAGGGAAACGCAAGCTGCACAAGGTACGTGGGGACGCTCCAGAGAAGGGATGAGGGGGGCGAAACTCCCCATGGTTTCATTAGTCTTAGTCTTGGGCAGGATCCCCCCCTCGATGGNCACATCACATTCCTGGCTCATGTTTAACTTGTTGTCCACGAGGAGTCCAAGATCTTTTTCCACGTACTGCTCTCTAGCCAGGCATTGTCCCCCATTCTGTATCTTTGCATTCTATATCTCTGTACTTGTCGTGGTGAGGGGGTTTGTGTGTTCCAATGAATCTGCGGGCACAACAACTGGAGTCGTGCACTCCCAGGAGTGGCCGCGAGGGAAGTTCCAGACCAAGCACAGTCCAAAGACCCAAAGACCTCAACGGCGGAGCAGGCGGAGGATAACATGGTACATGTTACAACGGTGTGAAGGCGGAGGAAGGCTGCAACAGACTGAGAAGCCATGGTCATTGTGTTAAACTACACCACCAGTGGAACCTCACTCTGTGAAGACTGTGTGTTGATCAGTTGTGCACTGACCTCCACACTTTAACAAAAAAACTCACGCACAGGCGTCTTCCAAAGAAAATAAAAACAAACCAACCAAAGTCCCATGGCGATCAGCGAGTGGCGACGGGGGCAGGACTGTGAAATCTGGAAGCCCCTAGTCACAGACTGGCACATGGGCGGTGGGTACGGACTCAGTCGTTCTACCTCAAGGTCCGAGGCAGTTGAGTATCCACGACTATATCCACAGCTGTATCCACAACTGAGCAGCCCTTTTGAGGACCCACTCTGCTCACCCCACACGGGGAAGGAGGGGGCTAGAGAAGGTGCCCTAAACATAGTCTGCCTCTCTTATCCCTGACTGGACTACTGCGTCCAATGGAGTCACCACCCTGCAGCCAAAAAAGAAAAATGAACTTCGGTACATGGAACGTATGGCCACTGATGGACAACAGTGACAGTGAACGCCCCGAACGCAGAACTGCCATCATTGCAAGGCAGTTGGGATGCTTCAACATCGACATAGCAGCCCTTCAGGAGACCCGGAGATCAGGAGAGGGACAGCGGAAGGAAGAAAAAGAAGGCTACACCTTCTTCTGGAAGGGACTGCCTGAAGAAGACCAAATAATGCACAGAGTTGGCTTTGCTATCAGAAATGATCTGGTGAAGCATCTGACCGAAGCACCCACTGGCATCAACGAACGACTCTCAACCCTCCGAATCGATCTTGCCAAAAACCAACGGGCAGCCATCATAAGTGCCTATGCACCAACACTAGATGCTGACGAAGATATCAAGGAAAATGTTTACTGTCAGCTGGACACCGTCCTATCGGGGATACCTAAGGAGGACAAAATCATCCTCCTGGGGGACTTCAATGCAAGAGTCGGGCGAGACCTTGACCTGTGGCCAGGGACCATAGGAAACAGCAACTCGAATGGCATCCTGCTTCTCACCAAATGTGTGGAACACAACTTTGTCATCACCAACANCTACTGTCAGCTGGACACCGTCCTATCGGGGATACCTAAGGAGGACAAAATCATCCTCCTGGGGGACTTCACGGCAAGAGTCGGCCGAGACTTCGACCTGTGGCCAGGGACCATAGGAAAAGACGGGGTTGGAAACAGCAACTCAAATGGCATCCTGCTTCTCACCAAATGTGCGGAGCACAACCTTGTCATCACCAACACGCTCTTCCGCCAGAAAAACAAGTTCAAGACATCATGGAAGCACCCCCGGTCAAAGCATTGGCACCTCTTAGACTATGTAATCACACGTGCCAGAGACCGCCGTGACGTGCTCCTCACAAGAGCCATGACAGGTGCTGACGACTGCTGGACTGACCACAGGCTAATTCGATCCTCGATGGCTATCAAGATCCTTCCCAAGCGCAGACTCCAAGGAAGGAAGACAAGGCGCAAAATGAACACCCAAGCCCTTCAGAAGCCCTCCAGACAAGCCCATCTCCAAACAGCACTCAAGGACCATCTACCCACAGTACACCCCGAAAATGTTGAGGAACATTGGAACAAACTGAAGACCTCCATCATCCAAGCCTGCGAAGAAACTATTGGATACCAAGCCAAGAAACATCAAGACTGGTTTGATGAAAATGACATCGAGATCCAACAGCTAATTGACAAGAAAAGGAAAGCCTTCCAAGCATGGCAGAGAGACATCAACTGTGCAGCTAAGAAAAAGATCTATGCCAGTGCAAAAGCTGAGGTCCAAAGGTCCAAGAGAACTCAAGAACATCTGGTGGACAAAGAAGGCCGAAGAAATCCAACACCTGGCAGATACCCATAATGCTCAGGGATTTTTCAAGGCCACAAAGGTCATCTACGGACCAAGAAACCATGGCATACAGCCTCTACGCTCATCAGATGGATCCAAACTCCTGAAGGACCAAAACTCAATTGCACTACGTTGGAAAGAACACTACCAAAGCCTCCTGAACCGCAGCTCCAATGTGGCCGAAGAGGTCCTCTCACAAATCCCACAACAACAAACCAGGGATGAGCTTGCAGCACTGCCCAGTTTGGAAGAAGTCAGCAATGCCATCAGCCAACAGAAAAATTACAAAGCCAGTGGACCAGACGGGATCCCTGCTGAAATCTTTAAAGAGGGAGGACCTGAGCTGACACACCAAC